AAAACAGATACAACAGATACAGAAGAAAGGAGAACAGAAATTGCAAGAATGTAAGTTGAGGAAAACTAGGCAAAAAACTATGGAGCATGAGATAAAAGGAAAGATACAACAAGAAAGTCCAAGGAGAAAAAGGAGTTCATTTCTACTATTCAATGAAAAAAAGCCTTTTATAGGGCAGTGTGCTCTTAGAGAGCTATGATTTTTGTCTTATTCAAGAACTGCAGTCACTTTTGGCAGTTTTGAAAAAAAAAGTTTTGAAAAAAACACGGTAGACAAAGAGGTGTTACATATTATGAAACACAGAGCTAAGAATCCTATACAAAAGATTTTATCAATTATATTAAGATCTGGAAATCTTAGAAATTGAACTCAAAAAACTAGTTTTCAATTAGAGCAGCATAATGGGTTCAATCTCCATTCATTACAAATCAAGGTTGCATCAATGAGGTATTTTCAACATTGTTGGTTGGCTATTACCATGCAGCTGGGGGTATTTTAATAACATACCACATTGTGATCAATGGAACTGTTTCTCCCCCTTTTAACCATTCATGGAATAAGCTTCAAGGAACAAATTTCTCATAGGCTTTATTAAAATTATTACTGTCTTTAATTATTTTGTTTTTAATAACTTGCTAAACTGCCTTCTCAAATTGTACATTTCACTTACCACTTTATATACTGTATAATATCAAACTGGAGATTAGAATGTACTATAGTACAGCTTCAGACTTTTGTCCAACTGGGACCTTTGCAGATATACTGAACCACAACACTCATCATCCATGATGTGTGGTTATGAGTGGCAAGACATGATGGGAAGTTGAGAAGTAGGCTACAATGGGTTCGGTGAAGATTATGCTTACAGAAAGGTGCAACCAATTTGTGCCTTAAAGTGCAAAGTCATTTTTAAAATCTATAAATTGTGCACATGCAAATACACAAAGCATGTTACAAGGAAATATTAAGGGGATGCATAACTTCTTTTCACTGTACTGCTCCATAGTGTTTATACCATGTCTTACAGCACTTAAGAAATGCTTTTAAAAACACATGAATGACTTGATGAAAATTTAAATATATTTTGTAAGACTTTAAAAGCAGGTAGCATTCTCAAGCAAAATTAAAATTACAAAGGGATGCGGGGACTATGACCACACCAGAAAATTCCAAACAGCATATTATATGAGACAATCTTCTTGAGTTGCTGCTCTCAAGTCATTCAAAACCTAGTCATCTTGCATTTGGACTACTGCAACGCGCTCTACACAGATCTACCCTTGAAGAACATTCAGAAGCTACAGCTGGTGCAAGTGCAGTGGTGTGGGCAGGTTTTGGGGCCACAAGAGTGGCCCATGTAACCCCACTGCTCTGCGAGCTGCACTGGCTGCTAGTTTGCTTCCAGGTGCAATTCAAAGTGTTGGTAATCACCTTTAAAGCCTTCATGCCATAGGTTCAGATTATTTAAAAAATATTTCTTTGCCATTGCTCCAGCCCTTTGGAACATTTTGCCCCCCAGAGCTCCTGACCTTCCCCAAGAGCTAAAAGACCTGACCCTGACAGTTGGCTCAGGACCACAATTGAGGATAGGGCTTCACATTGCGGCTGGTTGATAGATTAATAACATATCCCATCTCCCCCCCCCCCCCCCCCACATCCTACTTCCTTCCTCACCATCTTTTAGTTAGGGTTAAGTATTTATATTTGTATATTTTACTATATTATTCGTATTGTGTATAAGTTTTGTATAGTTTTATCTTTTTAATATTGTAAGCTGCCCAGAGTTACCCTGTAGTAAGATGGGCAGCCAATAAATCTAATAAATAAACAAGACATTTTGAAGCTCTTATTTCATACATTACACAGTGGGCTTGTATTATGGTTTTCATTTAAAAAGCAGTCTGATAAGAAATATACAAACTATTCCAAGTGAGTTAAAGTTGGATTGGTATATAAGATTGACTAATTAATTAATTAGGAGAATTCGCAAATTCTTTATTTGGGTTTGAAAGTTTTTGTCTTGGAGGCTTCTTTTTAATAAGGGCACTGTAAATAATCAACTTCAAAAGAAAGACACAATTTTTGTTAGACCTACTGTATCTTAATTATTCTTTGTGTCCAGAAGGACTCTAAACACATATCAGAATTATGTTGGCCTCTGACCACATGGCCACATGATGTTATATTGGGAATTGCCTCTTTTCCATCATCTTTCAGACTACAAGTCATTCATTCCACAGGTTAACTGTAATTTTATCCTATCTCTCTAAATTCTAGACATTCTGATTTGCACTAATAAGCTTTCTATTGTTATATCTGCAGGCTATCCACCTGTCATGGACAAGTTCATAAATAGGAACTGTGCAACTATTAGAGAAGGGCATTTTATGGGCCACTTTTGTGCTTTTTGTTTTGTTCTACATCTTCCAGAATTTTTGCTGAGTATGCTTTTTTGAGAGGTGGAAGGTAAATGACAACCTGCACCAAAATGCTGACATTCTAAATTGGTGCCACCATTTTAGACTTCATTCACTTTTTGAAAGCAAGTCAGGTAACCAAAAAAGATTTGTTAGTATGCCATTTTAAACATAATCCTTTCCAGTTGATGCCAAGATAAGTCTATATTTAAGCATGAATGTTGCCTTTGGATTGAAGATATAAAACCCCCAAATTACATAATCTTTGGAATAAATATAATGTAATTAACTTTTCCCTCAACAAATTTGTACTATTTACCATAGTTTCCATTCCACTAAATCACAAGATTGTGACTGTTGTCTATTAAGACATAATATGAAGGAAAAGCATTACACAAGAAGCAAAGCTTTCTTTGACCGTTGTTGACACCTGAGCTGTCAAGTTAGATATTACTAACAAAGAGACAAAAAATAACACAAATTTACATGAGCTTTACATGTGCTTATATGTATTGTATGCACCTGTACAAATGTAGAAATCATTGTTCTAATTTAAAAATAACTACATAATCTCAACATATTATGGAAGACTGACAAGAGACTTGTGCCTGCACAGCCTTTTGGGTAGGTGCTAATGCGAAACTTCAACACCTTTGGCTATCCCTTCTTTGGATTCCATTTGTTTACATTAAATTTGGAGATAGCCCTTTTTACAGAGGATGTCTTCAAATGCAGGACTGTTATCTGTAAAATAGGACATACATTTCCTACATCCAGCCTTAGCCATTCTAGTCTTACTAATATAGCAAATATGAGAGATCTACAATAAAAAACTGTCATCATCTAAGAGCAATAACTATGAAATGCTGTGACAATAAACATAACTCAATGGGGGAAGCATGCCAGCTTGTGCTTAGACAATTCTACCCCTCTTAAGTACAGGAAACATTGGAAAATATAATTGAAGTTTCATGCAATATCTGAAAAAACAAACAAACTGACCATTTAAAAAAACTCAATATAAAGTAAAAAGTTTAAGTCAATTCTGATTTGGAGTCAACTTCAAGTTTCTGATAAATTGAAGTTCCAAATTTATCCGGAAAAGTTTTAATTATACTGAGTTCATAATGCAAATACCAGTAATCTCAGAAAATTCCATGGAAATTCCATAACAGACATTTCAAAATGTTACATTACTCAATCAGTTTTTCATTCTTTATTATTGTTTTACAATTAGTCTCTCTTCTGCTTAACTGAAAGTCTGTATCAATGACATGCTTGAGCATTTCAGATATGTGTTTTAACCCAGGTTCTGATTAATGGATGCTGAAGGACCACAATTTAAAAGAATTTTATCTAGTTAAAAGCAGTTGGTGTTCTAACAATTTTTTATTTTTTTACAGTGTCCTAAAAACTGACTGATGAAGTAAGTATTGAAAAAAAGGGGGGGCATTCTAATTAAATATAATTAATCTCTTCATAAATCAGCTAGTTCCTTCTTAATACACTGGCAGAATAATTTTAGTATCAAGAATGCACTAAGCCAGGCCAGGAAACTGGCAGGTAAACATTCCTAAGGATTAGATACCTTCATAGCATTCACTGCATGGATCAAGATAAAAACATGAATCATGTCTATTATATCCTCATGCCTAAAAGGCTGAGCTGGGGATGTAGAAATGCAGCCCAAACTACGCTGTGTGAGTTGCAAAGTAAAGGCAAACTCAAAGGGAAGCGAGATGTGCAATTTGACTGTGGTACAGAAATTGTAGTAAAAAGACAGATATTTTTGACATTGTAATTTTTAAAATATGCATCTGTGAATCCTTCTTAAAAACTGACTCCAATTTCTCATGCATGTTTACTTAAATTAACAAAAGTAAAATGTGAAAAGAAGGCCTCAACATCAGCACAGATCAACGCAAAACTCTGCAGTGATTTTATCTTAGTGTAAAGATCTCTCTCTCTCTCTCCTCCCCCCCCCTCGTGTCTGTGTTGTCACTTTGTTCAAGCCTTACTACTGTAGCTTAATTGTAGTCAGTTACAGCCTCATATTTGCTACCCCATCCCCTTGCAGTCCTGTACTGTGACCAGCACTTAATAAGCTGTATGCAATTCTACCTGTACTCTTGAACCATGATGAGCCTCTGAACCATGTCGTGGAGAATTAGAGAGAGGCAGGTGTTCTGAGTCCTTTTCTTGGCAGGGGATTTAGACATTTACAATACCTTCTAGGCCAAAAGTCGACTGGGATTCAATATTGCATTAAATGGTGACAAAGGGGCAGGTGGGCTTTATTATTGCATTACAAAGGCTGCTGCTTTCCCCAGTACAGGCTATGTTTTGTGTGTGAAGCGGGCCCACACCTGCTGGAGCTGGGATCTGGAAATGCGGAGGACAGAAGGCATAAGTCTGTGGTTTCCTGCTGTGAGGGGCATGTGCCTGCGGTGGGGCATGCGCACGGGGCTGCTCTCCGCCGAACGGCTGCGCTGTATGAAAGTGCCGCCAAGGTGAGGGTACTGTTCTGTCTCCAGGGTTGAGGAGGAGAAAACGGAGGACGCCAGTCTTCTTAGGGGGCTGTACCTCGGGAGAGAGTGTTGAGAATGCCTGTCCTCCTCCAACTGCAAAAGACCAAGAAGAGTGGAGGAAAAGGTGTCAGGCAAAGACTTGACTCGCTCCTGGTTTGTGCTGTGCATGCTGCAGAAATCTTCACTGGCGGATGGCAAACCCTTCTGCTTTACAGGGACTTAACATAGCCTCCATGTTGACCCATCTCTAGGCTAATCTCCTACTGTTACATGAAGGGGCCCTTTTAGAAGTAAGAGATACACCTAGGCCTTACCACTGCACTTTCACAGAAGTGCGGCAGTTCCATACTTTCTCTAGTTACAGTTTTTTAAATCAAATAATGGAAAGAAGATAACAGCTCTGAAATTAATTTTGTTTGCCTCCTCACTTTTCTATTAATCCCTCCACACCCTCTTTCAAGTTGGAAAAAGCAGTTGCTTGGATATAAGTCTATATTTTATATTCGTATTTTCTATATTCTTAAAACTAAAAGTCACATTTTAAAATAAGGAGCTTTTTAAAAAAAAAAAACAATGATGTCTTATAATAGGAATGTTTAATTTAGACTACCTCAAGCCTATCTTGCTGTAGAGAAGCCACCTACAATACCTTGATTGGCAACTAAATAGAGATGCAAACTATACAAGTGTAAATTCTAGAAATTTACAATAATAGGCACAACATGAATAGTTGGGGTCTCTATCACGCATGAATATGATTCCTCCTGCAAATTTTATTTGCATCATAGGAAGAATAAAAACAATGTGAAAAGAATTGATACTAACCCTCAAGGAAGCTGGCAATATTTATTTCTAATTTGTTAGGCAACAGATTTCTAATATATTCTGTTCTTCTCAAATACACGGAAGCTGTACTATTTATAAAAGTTCACACAAATTCCTTTTAATCTTTTTGCAGAATTTACAACAGGCCTCTCACCTTTGTGCTGTCTCAACAGATTAATCTTAAAAATAAACTGAACATAAATGTAATAATAAAAGAGAAAGAAATATTATGGCACTGCATTGCTTAAAGTTAACTAGTACAAAATAATTATATGAAGTATTTCTCAGAATGAAGTATACAAAAATTCCATTTTTAATTAAGCTAGAGGAAAAAGTAGAGGAAAACTATAGCAAATACAGAGATCAGATGTAAAATGCCTGTGTTTTATTCCTTCAGAATAACGTGGCATATATTTCCTCTCTTTTCCTCTCTTTTATCCCAGTTACTCTCATATACTCTTCTTCTTCAAATTCCACCATACCTCATTAGATCCAATTGCCTTCCAAAAATCTTCCTTTATAAATCACCCAGTTGACCTTCTTTATCAACTTCTGTGCAAGTACAGTGATGTGCTATTCCTAAAAGCAGCCTTTGATATGAGCCTAAAACTTGTGCTTTTGATTTTTTAAAATTGCCTTTCTTGGCCTGTTAAACAAGGGAAAACTGAAGCTTGCATAATTATTATATGCTTTTACTGGCAGTTCATCCCATCCCTGTTTTCCTTTATTATTTAACATAAATCAAATGTGTGTAATTCCTTCAATGTTAGAAGTCTTCTGTTGTGTTAATTGCTGTGTCCTGGACCTACCCTAGTTTATTTTTAAAAAATCAGTACAATGATATATATTCTAGGATTTATATGAAGATGCCACTATTCATGTATTAAATAATGTGTTTCTGCTATCAAGAAAGCCACAGAAATATATTGCTATGGCATGTTTGATATATTTATAATTATATCATATTATAGATTAATATACATGAACACATCATTAGGAAAAAGCAATGATTAAATGTTATTAAAGGTCAGAGCACTTTTTATTCCAGAATTCACAAACGTTTTTTTAAATTAAAAGCAGAGAAATGAATTTTGATGTAAAACACCCACATAGGGTAATTAAGCAATGCATTGTTAAATTAAGACAAGCATGAAAACATTGCTTCATGCCATATTGATTAATATTCTTAACAGAAGCCAGGAGCATGTCCCACAATAAAACATTTAAGATTATTTTTAACATGAATATTCTTTATTTCAAAACTTTACACTTGTGGAATTTCAAAATAGAAGAAATCCATGCAAAGTAGATATAAAAATATATTACTTTCCTAAAAGTTGCCAAATATTGCCACTTTATCTGACTACTGTAAAACAATGAGCTTAGAGCCCAAGCACAGAATGATTTATGATATTGTGGGAACGATTGATGCATGCTTTCCTGGATTTTGCCATATTCTTTTGTATATCCAAGATTCTAGCATCTAATATGGATTCTAGAATGATAATGGCACAGAAGATAATCAGACATGGTAAAAAAATCCAGGTTTGTTGATATTTTTTTCATATCTGCAGAAAGGGCGTTGGTACTTACCTGATATGCCCGTTCTATGTGAGCTGTGAAGAGCATCCAGAAATGGGAGGTGCTTCAGTCTCTTCTGGAAAGGCTGGGCTTAAAACTCCGGGACGCTCCTCCTCCTCCACGGGACACCTCATCAGCGTCCCCCAGTTTTGCGAAGACTGAGTGCCAAAGTCCGGGACTCATCACCTAATCTAGATCCCTGACCGGAACGGAACCCCACCAGACGAAAAGAAATGGGTGGGGCTGGATGCTCTTCACAGCTCACAGAGAACGGGCGTATCAGGTAAGTACCAACGCCCTTTCTCCCCTGAGCTGTTCAGAGCATCCAGAAGTGGGACATACCAAAGCTTGGCTTGTCCTTAGGGAGGGACTCCGTCTGGATCGAAATCCACTCCTAAACTCTATGGACCCTCTGCAGGACTCTTCTGCCAAATGAAGTGTCCGCTGAGGGGTGGACATCAATTTTATAATTTCTGACAAAGGGCGATGGTGAAGCCCAAGTCGCCGCTCTGCAGATTTTGTCTATGGAAGCCCGAGTGGCCCATGCTGCTGATGTTGCCGCACTCCTTGTCGAGTGGGCTGTAATGCCCTTAGGAACTGAGATGGACTGGCATTCGTAACTTTTAGCTATGGTGGCTCTCAACCATCTACCAATGGTCGTCGACGACACCCTGTGTCCTAAAGTGGATGGGTTGAAGGATAGGAACAGAGCTTCAGATTTTCGAAATGCCGCCGTGCAGTCTAGATAGATGCTTAACGCCCTTCGAACATCAAGTCGATGCCATTGATGCTCTAGTCTATGAGATGGTTTCGGACAAAAATTTGGAAGCACCAACTCCTGCGCTCTGTGGAAGGCTGAATTTACTTTAGGAATGAACGATGGATCCAATCTGAGAACCACTCTGTCCACATGAAACACGCTTAGGTCCTTTCTCATCGACAATGCTGCCAACTCGGAAATCCTCCTTGCTGATGTGATCGCAATTAAGAAGACCACCTTATATGTCAGGAATTTGAGACTAGCGGTCCTTAAAGTCTTGAACGGGCCAGTTATAAGTGCAATTAACACCTTGTTGAGCTCCCAAGTGGAATAGCAGTGAATTACAGGAGGTCGTAAGTTTGCAGCACCCTTAAGAAAACTGTGGATATGTGGATGGTGTGCTATGGAACGAAGGTCACCCCAGGGTATCACCGAGGCTAAGGCCGCCACCTGTCTGCATAAAGTATTTGGAGATAGGCCCTTGGTCAACCCCTCCTGTAAAAAGTCCAATAATTGTCCTATTGATGGGGTAGTTGGGTCGATCTTAGGCCCCCGGCACCAGCGACAGAAAGTGGACCAAGTGGCCTCATATATACGATTTGTAGAGGACCGTCTGGATGCTTGTATGGTGGCAATGGCATCCTCTGAAATCTGTTGGGTCCTTAAACGGTTCCGCTCAACCTCCATACGGCTAGGCTGAGCCACTGTGGGTCCGGGTGAAGTACCGGCCCTTGCGAGAGGGAGACCCTTGACGGTGGAATTTTTCAAGGTTGTTCTCTCGACAGGTCCTGTAAGTCCGTGAACCACGTTCACCTGGGCCAGTAAGGGGTGACCAATATCAGTTCCGCTCATTCCTCCAATAACTTCTGGATCAACCTGGGTATTACAGGGATTGGAGGAAACGCATATAGAAGTCCGGGAGGCCACTGACATCGCAGAGCGTTGACGGCCTCTGCCCCCTGAGTCGGGTACCTTGAAATATACCAGGGCAATTGGGCGTTGCGGGGAGAGGCAAATAGATCGATCACCAGTTGCCCAAACCTCCGCACTGCTTCCTGGAAGAGAGACGGGTGTAGGTGCCACTCTGCCTGATCTATTGAGGCCCTGCTGAGCCAGTCCACTTGTGTGTTTAAGGCCCCTGCTATGTGCTCTGCCTTGAGCGACAACAGATTGGCCTCGGCCCACTTGAACAACCTGGCTGTCTCCAGCATCAGAAGTTTGGAGTGGGTACCCCCCTGTCTGTTTACGTGGGCCTTGGTTGTGATATTGTCTGTCAAGACCAGAACGTGGCGTGATTGGAAAAGGGGTAGAAAACTGCATAACGCCAGATGAACTGCTCGCAGCTCCAACAGGTTGATGCTTTGTGATTGTTCGGAAATAGTCCAAATTCCCTGTGTAGTGTGGGATTGGAAGTGAGCTCCCCAGGCTGGCGTCGGTTGTGATCGTTGCCCTGCAAGGTTCCTTGAAAGGACACCCCTTGTTTATCGTGTTTTCCGACCTCCAGTGGAGCGATCGGAGAACATTGTGGGGTACCTTTATCCGGACGTTGGAAGTGGCTCTTCCAGATCGCTGGAAAGGTAGCAGGAACCATTGCAGATCTCTAGAATGGAATCGAGCCCAAGGCACAATGGAAATACAAGAAATCAGTTTCCCTAACAGTTGAGACAGAACTGCCAGGGAAACCCTCTTTAAGGCTCTGATCTCTCTGGCCAAAGACTGGATACTATTCAACCTGTCCTGAGAGAGAAAAACCTTGCCCTCCATGGTATCTATCACTGCCCCTAAATGAACTAACCTAGTTGAAGGGATCAAATGGCTTTTATCCCAATTTATGGAAAAGCCGTGACCTTGAAGGGTCTCCAGAGTAATCTTGGAATCCAAATTTGCTTGATGTCTGGAAGATGACAAAATTA